TAAATAATTTAAATTTTTTTTATATGTATTACATATTTCTAATCAATTTTAAATTAATAAATGTCACAACAAGATTACGTCGTTAAAAAAAAAAAAAAAACAAATAAATAATAATCATCTTCATAGATATAAATATAAATAAGAAATCAATGACCAGCATTTAAAATTTCATTCGCAATATGTCTGTCTGCTTACTAAGTTGTATATGTACGATTTGCTAAATTAAATCTCTACCTTTAATATCAAAAGTATTAGTATCAATAAATTTAAGTTTACGCACCGTATTATAATGAAAATAAAAAACTGCTAATGAAATTCTATTGTATGTAATCCTATGTCGGAATACATATGTTTATAATTTTTACATAATATACAATAAATTTTAGATCATGATCATGTGGTGTCAATATTAGGATAAGTTCTTGTTATCAGGTAATCACTGGCAGAAATAAAAATTTTTTTTTTTAATTCAAAATCAGAATTATTTTCAAATTTTTTTATAAAACAACTAATTCAATAATAATAATTGGACGTGTAACACAAAGTGCTAGTTTTGGATTAGATCATGATTTCTTATTATTAAATTGTATCACATTATTATGATATAAAGTCGCAAAAAATAAGTTTGTTTAGTGATTACATAGGACCTACCTGATAATAATATTTATACTGGCTGTGACCTAAGCCTATCTTTTATGTCCTATTTATTATTGCATTATGTCTATACAGATGTAACTCGTGATTAAGATTATGATTGTTTGGAAAAAAATTTTGTTTATCAGTAAAACTTTTTCGAACTTTTGGATTTGAAAATTGAAAAGATGTATGAATGAAAGAATAAAAAAACCATTGAAAATAAAACTTATTGTTTGAAGATCTATCCTGAAAACCATATATATTTTTCCATTTTAGTTTTCCTACTCCATTTTATAATAAATAAATAAGTATATATATGTGCGTTATATTCCTACAAAAATTTTTTTTTTGTTTTACTACAGTTTATTAAAAATTAATACAATGAATAATTCAACAAGAGTAACTGCTAATAATTCAATAAGGATAGCTGCTAATAATTCAACAAGGGCAACGGCTGCTAATGCAACAAGGACAACTGCTGCTAATAATCAAACAAGGGTAGCTGCTGATAATGATCGAAACGTTGGATTTTTTTTTAATGGAGCTCTGGATTTATTTGAAGATAACAATAACAACAAAAACAATAATAATTCGGACCAATTCGATTATACGGGTGGCATTGGGTTTTAAAAAGAAATGAATGAAAAATAAAATCTCATTTGATTGACGCATTTATTATAGAAATTTATAATATTAATTTATATATTATGAATATGTGTATATAATGTATATATTATAAATGTTATGTATTAACTATTGTATGTATTAACTATTATGTTAACATTAAAATTTATATTTTATGAAAAAACTCTGATCTTTTTAAATTACTAGTCGAACGATGTGTCACATTAAACGATTGGGAAGTGTATTTTCCACCAAATTTGAGACAGATTTTTTAGGACTTATTCCTTCTTTTGGAATAAAATAGAAAAAAATCTTGGTGTTAAAGTTTAAACCAATTACCGCATTTGGAAATTATTATCTATTTTTGGTTATGACTCCTGATAATCTCCTGCCCACAATTTTTTCCTTTTTGTGTAATGATAAATAAATTTATCAAAATTTAGTATGTTTTTTGCCATTTTCACTAAACTTTAATAAACAACAATCCACATAAA